TCCCTAATTTCTTGCTCGTTATAATATCTGGTGAAATAAGGCTCCAAATAGAGCCTTGATACACTAAAAAAAATGTATTCGTTTTTCCATGCAGGAAGCTTTTCCTGACTTGGAAATCAAATTACAGTCTTTTTTGCAATTCCATTTCTGCCTCATACCAGTACCAAAGAGTATGCAGAAAATATACCACTCTGTCACGGTGTCAGTAGTTTGCAACATGCAGACATGTCATCTTTGTTTGCAAACTTCCTGCTCATAATAGATTAAGCTTTGGATCACCATATTGCTATTCCTGGTGCTTTAGCAGTTTAATGTGCAATGTTTTTAACTGGGCATAAGAAGCCGGAGGGATTCTTTAAGAACAAAGGGGATCATTGAATTCATGTTAAAGCTTAGACGGGTGAGTATAAGCTTAACAAACATAACTCTGAAAGGAAGAATGACTGCATGTGACAGGAGTCAGCACTGAAACTACTATGATTCAGGCTCTATTAAAAACCCGGCTATGGTTTCTCCTTGCCCCTATTCTTCTATATAAATATTTTCCAGTCTGATACTTGGCATAAAATGTGTCAACTGAGGAATTTGAATGTTTGTAAGCGTGTGGCTGGGTTGTTTTCTTTAGGCAAAATTAGAATAAAATTGGGTCATGTTTCTATTCTTAGCCCCTAACTTCAGAGGAGTTTCTCCAGACTGACACCACAAATGCAGTTTGGCACAGACGGGGAGAGTCTGATCGTGATTCTGCACCAATGCAAGTCTGGGGGAGCTCCATTGGGCACATGGGGAATCCTCTGTGGCTTCACTTGGTTGGGGCCTGCCATGCAAGCCCAGGAGAGAGAACTTCTTCTCTGCCAGAATTACCTAGTGCAGTGGAGAGGAGCAGCCAGGTAACACGCCCAAGTGTGTGTGTTACCTGTGCAGCTGCAGCCTCTCCAGAGCATGCTGTTCAAAGCATTTTTTCATTTCTTAGCTGAAGATCTCTCATCAAGTGCTCAGTGAGGCCTTCAGCTCCAAAGTCATCAGACATCTCCCTTGGGGGGTGTTGAGTGAGAAGGTGACTTTGAGCGTGCCTGAAATCAGACCCTCTTCCTGTCACGCTCTGAAGGGGTCGGGGAGAGGTGACATCCCTGATTTGGGTCTGCTTGTGGTGGATGTTTTGTGGCTTGTCACAGTCTGCCCTGATGGTGTTTGATCTTTCTACTTGTAACCGGAATCAGGACCAGGGCTAGTTTGGCTAGCCAGTACTCAAGCCAGTGAGCACAAGGGACTTCACACACGTGGTCCCACTTAGAGAATCCAAAAAGTCTTCTCCATCCTTGGCGTCCTACCCATTGCAAATATTTCTAGGCTGCCATGTGTCCCTTTCATTGTCTTCTAACCAAGCTGGACAGTACCTTTATTTTAACTCTTTCTTCTAAACTCTGTCCCTCCAAACACTGGTCCTCAGATCCTCTGGTCTATTTTCATCAGTGGAAGTAAATTGTTGAAAAGCCAGAGAGAGCTGGACGGCTGATAAATAAGACTGTCTTCCCTTTTGTCTTGTACCGGCAGGTGTCTGGGCCCATGGTGACTACTGCAAAATAAATCCCAAGACAGGTGGAATCGTCATGCTGGGCCGCAGGTAAAAATGATTATTTTTTGGTAAAACTCATGAGTCGGTGTACATAAGGAGGCTGCCATCATCAGGAGACCCACTGGTTACTGGCTTGTAGGAGGACATGTGCATGTAGCAGGTGACTCTCCACTCTGCTTGCTGCCTTGCCTTTCCCCGTCATTTCAGAGTTCTTGTAAAACAGCAGCATTATACTATTTGCTCTCAAGATCAGAGCAAAGGGAGCACAGATCGAAAACTATCTTCTGTCAGATAATTGGCCATCATTACAAGCCAGTAGCTCCTTGAGTTTTTGAGGATGGGTCCCGTGATTGTGGAGCTAGCGCTTATGGGGATGTAGTGATAGCGAATGAATGGGTGAGGAGTCAGAAGCAGCGTTCCCTCTAAACTGTGCGGCCATACAGGCACACCTGGCAGCGCCGCATGAGTGCGCCTGCGCGGCCACTCACGCCACACAGCTTAGAGGGAATGCTGGTCAGAAGATATGAGTTTTCTTCGTGGCTTTGCCACTGACTTGCTATGTAACCTTAGCCTAGCTCTGTCCTGCCTGCAGAAGTAGAGTCCCTCAGTCTTCAAGAGGTCAAAATGAGAGACCACAGATAGGAAGCTTCCTTGGCTAGGGGCTTCATGGCCAGCTGTGGATGTCCGGTGGCTCTGAAAATGAGATCCTATGCATCTCAAACAGGGAGGCTTTTGTTAATAGAGGCTTTTGAAAAAGTCCTACCTTAACCTTTTTATACCTCGGGTTACTCATGGTTAATGTGGCGATAACAGTACTGACTGACCCTGTAAAGGACTTCAAAGCTATATGTGTAAAGTGCCAAGTACTTTATTGGAAGCTGCAGTGTGCCCTTCGAACACTTTTATCGAATTTGAGCATCAGGAGCATTGCAAGCTTCTGTATCACTGTTTACAACTCACCGTGAAAACGGAGAGCTGAGTTACCCATCTAGCGTTGTGTCCAGCTCTCTTGTCCAACAGATGTGGTTCAGTTATGAGGCTTTGGCTCTCAGTGTCTGTGATCTGCGGCGAGAGAGAAGCGCTACTAATACAGAGGGGACGCAGGCAGTGAATGAAAAGCAATAGCAGTGCTAATGAGTACCACAAAAGCACCTGGCGGTAATTTCATGCCTGGCTGTTGCTGACTACTTTGCGAAGGCCTGTGCATAGGCAAGCTGAAGGGGTAGCCCTCCAGCAAGCCGTTGGGCTGTGGAGGAAGCATGAAGAGCCTTCTGTAGACAAAGAACTCTTGTAATCCTGTTTCTTGTACAGCTTCCTGCACAATTCGCCACCCTGAATATTGAAAAACCCACTTAATTGCATCGGTTCTTTTCTTTTCATCAAACCCTAATTATATTTTAATGCTCCTTTGTTTGTTTGTGTGCGATTTTCAGCGATGGTACATTAAATCCGAATGGAGTGAGATTTGGAAGTTCTGAAATCTATAACATAGGTATGAAATTAACTTTTCACCTTTTTCAACTGTGACATTGTTTATAGCCTTAAATCTGAAATATAAGCGTTAAAAAGGTTGCTGGGAGGATTAATTAATAAAACACTTGCAGTCTTTGAAATGAAAGGCACTAAAGAGCATATTGTCATTAACAATAAAATTCCGCTTTGTAGGCTGTGAAATTGCTTGATTTACAAAAGTGTGTACAGAACCGGAGGTGGCTAGTTGAAAATGCGCTCTGTTCTTCTTATAAGATGTTGCATTTGTATAATAAGGTCTACAAGCAATTATATAGCAAAGTCTACAAGCAAACCATTTTTACCTGCCTTTGTAGGAGAGCGCCTGACATTTGTGGCTTGTTCTTTCAAGGAGAACTTGTAGACAATGCACAGTGGCTCTTACTGAGCCATTGTTAATAGTTTGTAGTAGTGCCCTTCTTCATTGCCATGACGAATTTGTGCATGGAGGGAACACTGGTAACTCTCTGAAGCCAGCGGTAGTGAGGGAGGGTAGAGAGGTGGTGGACCATGCTACTGTGCCATAGTGAATTGAGGTGCTCGTCTCATCCAGGGGAGAATTTGGAGGGCCAGCCTCCCTTATGGGAGATGGTGGGACCTTCGGGAAGTTCACGGCCGTTGCCTGAAGCCATATTCCATATAGCTCCTCCTTTCCTGAAGCTGTAGAACAAGATCAGTCGCTCCTTTGTCTCATTTACATATGAGGCAGTTTCTGATCTAGGTTACACCAGTATTAACAAGGTCCGACTCTCCATAGGCAAGGGCTTGGTAGGGACTAGGTTGCTACATTCCCATAGCGGGTGAAGTTGAATACTTACTTGGTTTGTGACCCTGCTGTGTTCTGCAGAGCCCCTTCCTCTTCATCTTAAATCCACGCAGTCTCAGTTGGGTTGTCCGGTTTCGCCCTTACCCACACCTTCGTCCTGCGAGGAGAGAGGGAGGCTGATCAGTGATGTGAAGGCTGGCAGACCTGGGCTCAGTCTCTTGCTCCACTGTAGGTTTCCTCTGTGATCTTAGCCAAGTCATTCAGCCGTGGTCTGCCTCACTTCCCTGGCTGTACAATGGGGATAGTAGCTCTTTCCCCAGCTTGCACGGGAGCTTGTGAGGATAAAGGCATCTTAAAGATCGTTAAGTATTCGGGGTCTATACAAATAGGAGGCATAGAACTGCCTCAGGCAAAAAGACAGCAAGTATGTGGCTTAGATTGAACATAAAGGTTATTGATCCAAATTAGATCCTAACTATGGCTTGGGCTAGGTTGGTATTTATTGGGTCTTTAAATCAGGGTTTTCCCCCAAGCAGCAGCGAGCAGCTGGGGATGCCAGAGGAGCTTACAGAAGTTAGGCGTGCAAATCCCATGGGAAGCCAATGGCAGTCGGATGCCTGCTCTCTCGCTGTCTGCTGAGAATCCCAGTGAATGTCCACTTGCTGTTTGTTTCCTCGGTACAGGTTCTTTAATGCGAAGCGAAAGATGGATCCGGTAGAAAACACGGGCATATGATAAAGAGAAGTTTTTCTGTCTTTTGCAGTGGAAGCTTTTGAAGAGGTTTCAGACAGCCTCTGCGTCCCTCAGTACAACAAAGATGGCGAGGAAAGGGTGATCCTCTTCCTGAAGATGGCTTCGAGCCACGTGTTCAGTCAGGAGCTGGTGAAAAGGATTAGGGATGCGATACGCATCGCGCTTTCTGCCAGACATGTTCCCAGCCTCATCCTAGAAACCAAAGGCATTCCGGTATGTCATGAAAATGCTGAACTTTTTTTCTTTGTCACCTTGAATAATAATTAAGGAGCAGTTGTCGTTGCTCTTCAAACCCACACACATGGAAATTTTAGCATCTAAAAAGTGTATTCAAGTTTTATAAATAGTTTGTCCATGTTGCCTAGCAACTTCACATCTTGTCTTTCGTTTTTTTGCTTTCTTCTCAACTAAGCTTGTGTTTAAAACAATTTTTTTATATATATAAAAATCAATCCTCGGTTTATAAATATGCACACGCCCTTCTGTGCTAAGCCTTAGGGCTATTTTCTTACAAAAGATATTTTCTGTGTTTTCTCAGTAAATATTAATGAGCTAATTTAATTTTGTCTTTGGAGTATGCCCAGAAGTTTACATTTACTTCTTTAGTTGTTCTTCCAGTTCAAATGGTGCAAGAGTTGAGAGTGAGCTCACAAAGCAAGCATGTTTGGAAATCACTGTGGAGGCTGCATCTCTCCTGCATCAGCTGAGCATTTTAATTTTTGGTCCGTTCATGTTATAGTGGTAGGAATAGCCTCAACAAGGCCATGCCCGGCTATGTTGTTCCAGGTAAACTACCTCCAAACCTGGAAGTAACATTGCATTTGCTGTTGAGGTGGGTTCGTCAGCTATGGGGCAGGTAATTGGCACTGTCGCTCAGCGGTGGTAATTAGTGCTCTGCAGGGGCATCTGCAATGCTTCTGGTTCTGGAGGCAGTTGAGGCGGCAAGTTTATCACATGCACGTACGATTCAGCTCATGTCTATGAGGGACGCACGTAATGGTACAGACATGCTTTGTTTCAAATGTAGAACCCCTTTCACATCAGATACATTTTCTGCAAGGTGTCTGCCTCTTGGCCCAATCTTCAGATGGACTCTGTAGAACTGAGTCTTCTACTGTCTCCATTATAGATCTCTGTCCTACCGTTGAGCTTCTAAGAAGCTCTTTTTCTTTGCTGTTTCATCTTGGAGGTATAAGATGCAAGTGAAGTGCTATGTAGTGGGTGTATTTGCAGGTGGAGCAGAGAGCAGAGCAGGAAATCTGAAAGACGTCCCTTAGTTAGATTTGCATGAAGGTATGTATTAGGAAAAGCTTCCTTTTAAATTGGTCCTAGAACTGTGGCCCCTTGAAAAAAAAAAAACAAGTACCAACAGTCAGACAACCCAGTTCCCAGCCAGGCTCTGTTGGGTGAACAGGCTGCTCGGGGCCTGGTGAGAAGGGGAAGTGTAGTTGTCTGCAGGTCATTGCATGTGCCCTTGCAGAGACAGTGCTTTAAGACTGAACTGAGCTTGAGACATTGATGCCTAATTTCATCCAAATGCAGGTTTCAAGCTAGTGGTGGCCTGACTTCCAGAAATGCTCAGAACTGGCAGCCTCAGCTGCCTTCCTAGCGCAGGCAAGAGTCTGATTCTGCTGTTTGCTGAGTTTAATGGGATTACTGTAGTTTATGCTGCCATAAGAGAACAGCACTGGGCTCCGATTTTTCTTATTTGAATGAGTGGAAAAGAATCGCTGCAAGACTTACTTCCTAAGCGATAGTCCCGGCTGAAACTCCAGCTTCTACATGATGTTAAACTTTTTATGAAAACGCATAAATCACCTGAATGTAAAGAATAAACTTGACGGCAATGAGGTGTTTATGACAGCTAGCCTCTTAGGAATGCCTGCTTAGATCATTAATTAGTTCCCACTTTGACTGAATTTACAATTGAATGAATTTTAATTACGTTTCAGGTAAAATATGCCAGCAGTAACGTGATCAAAGCCGTCTCCTTGCTTTCTTTGAAGATCTTGCTTGGGAAGGAGGGGGGAATATTCCCCCCCCCCCCTTCCCCCACTTTCTGCTATTTCTGGAAGTAGGTTTAGCTAAATAAAAATAATCCACCTGCCCCCATCTGAAAATATATAGGGTCTGATTCTGATGCCATTTTATCCTGGCAGGAATCGGCAACTTTGCTCTGCTGTCAACAGTCAAGCAGTGTTAAAGGCTGAGGTCTGAACTGACCCATATTTTAGAAATTATAAAAAAAACTTGAAGACACGTTGTGCACTTAGAATGGGTGAAGGCATGTGCTGCAGCCCTGCTTCAGCAAAATACTTATGCACATGCTGAAGTAACATAAATGTTTTTGCTTTGCTAATCGGGGGCTGCTACGTGAGCAGATTTCCAGCCTGGATCTTGGAAGTGCTGCGGACCTGGAATCCACCGTACCCTAGCGCAGCTCCTGGAAGCTCATCCCTTTGAAGATGAATGTGCTTCAGATAGGCTGGCACTTGCTGAGGAGGGAGAGCGCTGGTTTAGGGGATTGGAACTACGTGAGAGCCAATTAGTATAAACAGGGAGAAATGCGCCTCTTATCGAGAACAAATTCCCAACAGCATAGAAGGTCAGAGATGACTTGTCCTGCTTTCACCTTTTGGAGCAGTCTCAGAAGGGCTAATGCCTGGGGATCAACAGTATAAAAAGCAGCTTACAGACCTAACAGTCATGGCGAGGCCTTTGATCAGACAGGAGGACGAGATCAGAGAACAGGACAAGACCAGTCTCTCTGTCAGGTGCCGGTGGACAAAGACTGAGACGATCTCAGGCCAACAGTGCTCTGAGTTGCCTTGCCATAACCTTCTTGGTGTGTCGTGACTCAGGAGGAAGAGTAGTCTGGACTGGATGGTAGTTGTCCCGCTTGCGGTGATCTGAGAGGAGTCGTTCAATAATTTCCGTAATGCATTCAGGGATATAGGTTGTAGCTCTGTTGGGTTAAAGGCAAAAGCAGTCAGAACTCTTGTGGTAGAGGCGATATTTTTTTTTATTAGACCAACTAGATAGTTGCAAAAAAACAACCCAGACAAACTTTTTTTATTTGCAAGTTTTCAGGCTCACGTGCCCTTCCTCGGGTAAAGGAGAATGCAAAGATTGTAAAATTTCTCCCAGGTAGAAACTTACATCATCCTCCAGTTCTCCTGTGCAATATGAAGCTTCGTTTCTACTTGGGAGAAATTTTACAGTGTTTGCATTCTCCTTTGCCTGAGGAAGGGCGTGTGAGCCTGAAAACTTGCAAATACATATGCATATTTTTTCAACTATCTAGTTGGTTCCTTAATGCATGGAATTACCCCCACGCTCCTACGAAGTGGCCTTTGGCCGATCATAAAGAAAGTGCCCATGTAGAGTATTAAGATGCAGATTTGCACACCTTGCCCCCCTTTTTCCCTGCTCCCCAAAGCCCAGATGGGCAGGGACCTAGAGATATTAATTTCAGCCCAACTCCAGAAGACTTAAAGCAGTTGAAAACCATGGGTATAATTTTAAATTGATAAAAAAGGTTCAAAGTAATTCAGATACGCTAGGCCCACTTGTATGTCCCCTGATGAAAAGGAACTGGTATGTGTTCCCAGTATTGCCTCTTGAAAACCTCAACAGATTACTGAAACAGCTCATTGAACTCTTTGGGCCTTTTCAAACCATTTGAAAAACCAGGCAGAGCAGTGGAGGCAAGGAGATGAACTGGTCTTTATGGCTTGTTTCCAGCATTGGTGGTGGCTTTTTCATAAGGCCATTGGCTCTCAAGGTCATTAGACTAAAGGCACCCCTCGGAAAATGCCACCTCTTAGCTTTCACTTGGTTTTCTGACTGCAGAAAAATAATAAAGCAATTCTTTTGTTGAGAAGAACCCAGAAAGATGACGACAGGGCAGAATGTTTTTGATGCTATGGATTGCTATTTGACATCTTTGGGTTTATTTTGTGAATCGCATGTAGGTGTTTGCACACCTAACAGCACTAATACTGTGTGGCACCTGTAGCACACTTTGAAAGGATCTCATGGCACCCCCAGACGCTATGACACCTGGTTGAGGATCGTTGCGTTAAGCCATCCAGGAAGCAACCAAAGGGAGAACATAACTTTATTGTTGCCCTTCTTTTTTTTAATGTTACAGTACACAATAAATGGGAAGAAAGTGGAAGTGGCCGTGAAGCAAATCATTGCAGGGAAGGAAGTGGAGCAGCGGGGAGCTTTCTCCAACCCGGAGATCTTGGACCTGTATCGAAATATTCCCGAGCTTCAGAAATTTTGAAGTCAAATGGATCTTTGCATCTCTCTGTGTCCCACGTGTATTGTATATATGAAAACTGTATGTAAAGAAGAAGCTATTTAAATACCAGTGGTTCTTTTAAAAGAAAAATAATATTTCGTTAAGTGCATTATGAAAGGCTTGGGTAAGGCATAGCTGTCTCTCACTGGTTAAATATGCCATATGTACAGGTGTCTCTTCCAACCAGGAAGAAGAACCTGCCTGTCTTTTGATTTTTATACCTGTGACAAATGCATCTTTTCCAGTTAGATTTGCATCAGCAAGCCAACGAATTAGACCGTCAACAGCAAAAATAGTTATGATTGCTAATGGAATACTTCTGTTTCATAAAACTTTCCACTTTTTAACTGGACTTCTAACTATATTTAGGGTTTTTTTTTCTTAATATCTTTATTAGAGCTGCCAGCAAGGGGTTTGTGGCTGTTTTAAATACTTGATGTTTTTGTGCTGCTGAAGCTGAGGGTAAAGGCATGTTAGCTTTTTCTTGAAACACCACCATGAAACACAAAAGCATTCTGCGCATACTGTGCATATTGTCCAGATCTTAATGCACTATGCCTATCTTATTTGTACAGTACAGTCTTGAAGCATCTCATCACCCCCTTGGAGGTAATTTGCTGCTTAACTTTGTGATGTTACCTTCATATTGTTTTTAAACTTTTAGTGTTATCCGTCTGTGTATTTTGTGGGGGCCAAATGCTGTTTCATTTACATTGGTGTAAATTCAGAACGTCTCTGTTGATATCATTTGAATTGCTCTGAATTTATGTCATCGTAATTGAGGACAGGATTTTGCCCTAATTTGGTTTTAAAGTCCATTATTAGAGTCTAGAAAGCAAAAAAAATCCAGTATTATAGTAGCAGAAGAATTCCAGTGTATTAATTTAATAAAAACCTGATCTTTTTGTAACTTTTTTTACTAAACGTGTTCTTGACAGTGAGAAACTAAAACATTTTCTAGTTCTTGATCCTTCCAGTTTATAAAGAGGGGGAAAAAGCTGTTACAAGTATTTTGGAACTGTAAGATGAAAACACTATAAAATGGAAACACTAAAACACCTTGTGTTTTTTCACAACGAAAATGCAATTGCAGTAGTTGTACCGAACCTCTGGCCTTCAGCACCTCCTGCATTATTTGAATATTGTGGGTAAAGTATTTAATGCATTAGAATCATGGGTGTCCTTATAATTGTATCTGTGCAATGGAGGCTGTTAAGATTTAATTAAAAGGAAATAAACTCAGATTCTTAATTTGCGTGGGTTTTTAATTTTCACTCAGTTATCTCCATAGTTGTCTTTTCTTTTCCTACGGTGGAGTTTCATATAGCCAGTTTTAGCTTAATTTCCTTTAATCATGTTCCGCCCCTCAAACATTTCCCCCGCCCCCGAAGTCTGTGCTCTTTGGCAAGGAATTGTCACCCTGGGCATTTCTATACGTGCTGCGGGTGGCATTTGCGGGGCGCTTGAATTAGCACTGCTCTGAGAGCCGCGCTAATTAAAAGTACCCAGAGCGTCATGTGTATCAGTTCTTTGCACTGAAAAATGGTGGCGGGGTGGGTGCTTTGAACTAAAGCTGATTGAATAAGCTTTAAAGCGCCTCACAGCCATTTTTCAGCACGGGGATGCTGATGCATATGATGCTGGAGCATATTGATTTTCATGCTCCAGCAGACTCGATTAATGGAGTCTGGAATTGCAGCGCATCGGAGCAGCCCCCCTGCACGTGTATAGGAGCCCCCTGTGTTTTACAGCTTTGGATGTGTTGCACATCACAGCTAATGCATGTGCGTAGCTACCCAATCTGAATGCTCTTTGGTACATGTGAGCAGGTGTGGAAGAAAACCTGCTGAAGATGTAACCCTGTGCTTTGGGCTTTGCAGCAATTGCATAAAGCAGTGTGGCAAACCTTCATTGCAGGGAAGGTGCTGTTATGCCCTGAGATCACTACTGCTGTGAAATCCTAGTGGAGGCAAACCTTGGCACTTTTAATGTACAACACCTCCACTTGGATGAATCCAGTGCAGATCAACCCCATATAAAAACTACCATAGCTTTTCCTTCACTGGTGTTTATTGAGTTGTTCATCCTGGTTCATAAATACTCCTTTCTCGCACCAAAGATATAACCTCAGCACTTGTAGACAGATAGTCAAGTTGTAAGCACATGGACCCTTATTAATAAGTAATCTTGGAATAGTTTATTAATTAAAACCTGATTGTTTGGAAGCATGATATATTGAGAATGTAATATGGGGAAGGTTATGGGTGTTGAATGCGTGCCATTATAATACCAAACTACTGTTTTAAATTAAGTGCACAATAATTGCATCTTCAAATGTGTATGAACCTATGGACCGACTCCGGAGAAAGCCCCTGTCTCAAACATACGTAGAACCTGCGTGCTTTGCTGGGAGATGTTCCTTCTTCCCTGTAAAGACGAGGGTTTGCGACCTACCTGGGGGTATAACTGCAACAGATAGCTGAGTGCTACCGCTGAGGTGCTCCAGCTGAGTGGAGAAGCTGTCCCCTTTTTAACATAAAAGTCGCTGCAAGCAGCTGAAACAGCTAATTTGGCAGCCTGCCAAGAGCAAAGTACGTTTTGTGCAATCCAGGTACGGATGATCCAGGTTCTGCTCTAATCCCTGGCCAAAGCTGAAGAATGGAGTTATTGTCAACAACAGCTTCGCGTTCTCTGCGGGATGCCGAGATGCCTCATAGTCCAACAAGGTTTTCTGGGCTCCGTGTGATTGAGCTGTCCCAAAGTAGACAGCCTGTTGTGCTGGGGTGATAAATGTCCCAAGATAAAGGCCACGCAGTCTTTAAAACAGTAGAGAAGCAAGTAACTGAGCTGCCAATAACCTGTGATTAGAAGTTCCCCATTTAGTAGTTCTCAACTCCCTTCCCCTCCAGCATGGAATATATAAATTTTATATTAACTGTGTGTGCGTGTTCATTAAAACTTAATGATGCCATTCTTTAATCCATGCAAAATGTCTGGAGTTTACAAAGCACACAAACCCTTGTTAATAAATAATCTTGGAATATTTTATTAATTAAAACAAGATGGTTTGGAAGCAGGGATGTATTGGAAATGTATACTTTGCCTAGAGGTGAATGGTATTTTTTCATATATTCTGTCTTGTACCAAAAACGCAGGAGAACGTTCAGATGATTAACAGATGGAATTTGAAACTTTCAGTTTTGTTTGGCTTAATGCATACATTCAAACCTTGGTGCAGAATAATACTGTGTTTTGCATTTGAATAGTGAAAATTGGACTAAGGACTGCAAAAGGACTTGAGCCATTCAATTAAGCCATGACAGGTATTGTACTTAGGCAAATATTATATTCAGTTTCCAAATTAACCTCTTTCTGCTTCAGTTGATTTCAAGGACCCGACTTGGAGCAGTGTGGAGCACCTGCAACTACGAAGTCAGCGTGATTGGTGAGTGTGTTTGGCAGCCTTGGAAAACAGGGCCTAGAAGTTGTTCAGTGCACCTAGGAGAGTCTGGTATGGAGTTGGGAACACAATTCGGGTCTCCCGAGTCTTCTCCCCCATTTTAATTCCTGTCTCTTTAGCAAGTGGTGCTTCAGGCAGGCAAAGGCAAGAACAAGCATCTCATAAGGTTGAGGTGCCCCAGTTCTGCTGCAGGCTGTTGGGAGGAGTACCCACTTCAGGATGCCACAGGTAGGGGCAAACAGAGTGGTCCTTAGGTGGGAACACAAGGAGCTCAAGGCATTTTCCTTTCAGCTTTCTGCAATGCACTTACCCTCTTCTCGCCTCTTGAGGGCTGGGCCTGCTGGGAGTCCTGGCTCTTAGGAATGGCAATTTGAGAACTGTGTGCCATTGTCGGTAGCCTCTTCAGACTACCCACTTGCCTCTGTCATGGAGAGGTACATTTGGCTGGATTCTGGTAGAGGTGAGATTGCACCTTCTTTTAAAATGGCATAGCAGCCAGGCATTCCAGCTTCAGAGAGTGACTGACTCCTGCTGGGACCCGATTGCACGGTGCTCTCAGAGAGGTGCAAGACTTTAGAGCCATAGCAGGCTCGAATAAGCTGATTAAATCTCGATTTGGTTCTAGGACATGTTTGTCCGGACGCTACAAAGATCTCCTCTAGCTAGGTCACAGCTTTGAATGTGCAACCACCCATACATGAAGATGGATAGCTTTTAATTTTTATCAAATCTATTCATAATCCAGACGTTTGGTATGTGTGATGGATATCATATTATACAGGTGTCATTTGGCTTCTATGTGGGATACACCTTCTTCTACAAATCGCCTGAAGCCGGTGATAAAAAGGTACAGCAGCCAACCTGTACAATTGGGTATTTGCTTGAGAGTGCAAGCTCCCTGGACCCATTACTGAACGCTTTTCAGATTCACGAATGCATATTTAAGAGGGTGGTGTTTGCAAGGCAGAACCATAGGAGTCTAACAAGTAAACAGGTGTTAAATGCATTAGTGAGTAATCAGGACTCGTAATAAAGATGATATCTTTTATTAGACCAACAAGATTTTTGCAAAAAAAATTTCTTCGTGAGTAATGACTCTCTTTACATTCATACTCTGAAGTGATGGAGAGAGAGTTGCAGGACCCGACCGCAGTGCCTGGATTTCTCTGATGTTCTTTATGGATGGCTCAGGGAGAAATGAGATCCAACACCGTCTTGGTTCAAGGGGCCCAGAGGTATCATAACAATCATTGTCACCTCTCAGACCCAGGAGTGAGTGCTGGGCCTGTTAGCTCTTACTGTAACTGTTGTGTTGACCAGCCAAGTTGCAGGTCAGAATGACGAATACTCGAGATGCTTTCATGTCACCAAATATTGAGGCTGGGCTGCTAAATAGCTCCATTTTCCTGGATAGTGGTGTGTGATGTATGGGTAGTTGCACATCCAGCGGCAGGTCAACAGAAGTAACCAAGCAGCATAAGGCACAGATTCATCCCAGTTCCCTCAAAGGGAGAGTGTCAGACAAACCTATCCAGTAGTGATGCATTTCTTGATGTCAGGTCTTAGATTTGGTGATTTGAACCACATTGGGAGGGGTGGGGGGCAGGAAACATAGAGCCCGAGCTCTTGAGTATTTTACCTGTAACGGCTTACTTGGTTTGTTCTGACTTAGTCTAAATGCAGTATCATCACTCTGATTTGGAGGAAGTTAACTATTATTCAGAGTAGTTTTCTTTCCTGGCCCCAGTGTGTGATGCCTCTGCTCTTTACTGAGACTGTTTTTTATTAAGCTTTTAAACCACTGTGAGACCCCACCCACAGAGGTTCCTGTCTGCCAGCACAGATCAAAACAGCGACCTCTCAGTCTAGATGATCTTTGTCTCTTTTAAAATTTTAGGTCTGCAGCAAGCAATTTGTCTGGGTAAAGCTCTCATCTCGTTACTGACAGGAGCAATTTCCCCGAGTGTCTTAGTCATTCTCCAGATCTCTGTTGAATCCCACAGAGCTGAGATCTTAACTCCATACATCCCTGCTTCTTCCTTCAAATGTGTTGCCTTGTCAAAGAGAGTATTTTTAGCTCTAAAGGAATAGGGTTTAATACCGAGCAGAGGTTTCACTTTTTCCCATTGTGCTTTCTTTTATTGTTTTTTTTTTCTTCCCAAAAGGAAACTACATCTGATCTATTGACCAAAAACAAAACTAGTGTATGAGAATCTGCTGCATGGGCTAGAATCACACACAGCACAATATGGTGGCATGAGAGAGTTTGTGTGTGTGCATATTTTTTCTTTGCTGGGAATTAGGGGCCTTTTTAGATTCAAATCATGAGATAATCAACATTAGTGAGCATCTTGCTCTACATGATCTGTGTGCAAAGTGGGAGCGAAATCTGTTAGGGAAAGCAGAGGGCGACAGTGTCTGAAATACTATTAGAGAGTCAAAGAGAGCCTTGGATAGATAGAGCCATTTCAGTTGCAGAACAATAAGTCGTCCCAAAGTACCAGTACTACTAGAGCAAGCAACAGCTGGCTGCACAATTTTTCATTGTTTCTGGAGAAATGTTTCCAAACAGCCAGCCAGAGATGCATCTCGCAAATAGATGGATGTTGGTTGGGAGGGGAGGGAAGGAATCCCTTGCAGGCTGCTGTGTACCAGGGGTCAGAGGAGGTTTAATTGGACCTGGTACTTCCAAATTAGTAGACCTTAAATTATTCTTTTCCTCCTTGCTACTTTTGACAAGCTCTTTTGCAAAGTTCAGGGGCCTTATTGGCGCTCAGTGGGAGGTA